GAAAAAAATATACGCGAAACCGGCGGTTTAAAATCGGACCAAACCGTTAGGTTTAGGTTTGAGTTTTTTTCAAATCGGTCAAAACGGTTTGGTTTAGGTTTGAGTTTTTCTCAAACCGGTCAAAACGATTTGGTTTGAAAATTTGTCAAAAACTGCAAAAATCGGACCACTTACACCTCTATTTTGCGGACTGAGATTTCTTTTTGGGCTTTATTCTTCAGGCTGGAGCCCGTGCATATTATTATTAGTTTAGTTAAAAAGAAAAGGAAAATTAAAAAATATATATACGAGTTAAAATGTGTGCAAAATTTTTAAGATTGATCATTAAATTACATTTTTTACTCTATTTGTCGTTAAAGTTATTACTGGTTTCATTACGTAAAATGACAACATTCGTGGAGTTTTTCAAATTGTACCATTTAGATTTCTTCATAAAATGTGTGCAACATTCCATCTAAAATGTCAACATTCCATTTTAAGTGGTTGTTTTTTTTTTTTATTGGGATTTAGTTTAGGAGCTGTCCGAGAGGGATTTTGTGAAGATTTTATTTCAATTTTTGTCCGTTGGAAAAGATAGGTGGATCCCAAAAATGCAGTAATTGTTGACTCAATTTTTGTCGAGTTACCAGAAATGCCCCATTTCTAAAGAATAATGAATTAAATGTTAAAGGGACACATTGCTAATTTTAGTTAATTCGGTCAATATTGTGGCTCCGTGCACAGACTAAACACTTCATAACGATCTCAAATTCGCTAAAAAATGGATACAAAATTGCTCCCAAACGGGAGCTTAATTGATAGACGAATTTGGAAATTTTATCCAATGATTAGGATTTTGGTGCATTGAATTGTAATTAACAAATAAATTAACAGCATTCAGTTGACATTAGTAATTAATCGAATGCCAAACCAATGACCAATTCCAAAATTCACACAAACTTCAGAAATTAACTTTAAAATTTTTTATATGGCCAGGCACTAGGTGTTCTAGGCTTTGCATTTTTGGAAGGTGCAAGGCTTGATGTTTATAAATGGTCAAAATAGTTGAATACTAACAATTGAACCAGTTCCATAGAAAAATGAAGAATTATACATCTAGTCTATCTGATCGAGCTTTTTAGTTTAGCCTTTGTTAGAATAATGATTTATAAATTCAATTAAAGTTAAAGTCAAAGTCAAAGTCAAAAATTAATTTCAACCATATAATTATAATTACTACTCATTATCATTTCAAAAATGCTGTGAGTACAGATTTTTTCTACAGAAATTTGAATTTTACTCACATGGGAGTGGATTTTATGTGATTAAAAAATTGATTATTCTCCCCAATTATTTTTATCTTGTATGGGTACATGAATTTGAATTCTTATATCCATAGCAGAACTCTTATTATTTACATATTTGGGGACTTACTATTATTCCTATTCATAACTATTTATAAATTTATCAAACAGAGGATTAATGCTTTTTAGTGAAAAATTAAAAAATTGAAAGAAACTCGTAAAGCCCGATTTAGCAGGTCTCGGGCCCAGACAGACCCGTTTCACTAGCCAAACAGGCGGGCTTTGGCCAATTTATCCAACCACTTGGACCTGGCTAACTTGTTATGTTTCATTAGTGGTTGTCAAAATTCATCACGTTTGGAGATTGAATTCACATACCAGAAAATTTATCTTGATTTACCTCTAGAAAATGCCCCTTTATTAATTTTATCAAGAGAAGGACAAAAGTTCTTCATTGGAGTGGCAAAAAGGTTGAAATTGAATGTTCAATATGAAATTATCATTATATGTTTTTTACGTCCTCCATGTGTTTGATGAAATGCCTGTTCTGCATAGGATGTCACATTCTGAATTAGTGGTTTGTACCGCCTGTGCTCATTCAGCTCTTTTTTACTGTGTTGAATTGATGAACTAGTCTATGCCTTAGCACCAATACTTGTTAGAAATAATTATTGTCCAAGGATTCTAAATTGAACCTTTTTCCATTAACGAAGGTAATAAGAATAACTGTGTGCAGTCGTGAAGCCACGTATACAAATCTGTATATGAGGAATTTGGATCCAAGTGTCACATAAGAAATCCTCTGAGGACAAGTTATCTGCATATGAAAAGATAATAAACTTAGTCATCACAAAAGACGAGAATGGGGGATCAAGAGAGTCTGGTGTGTATTGTAGAAAATGCAGACGATGCCAAACGTCAAGCAGGTTTGTATATATTTTCTGTACAGCATTAAGGATTTCAGGTTTCAAATATGTTTTGAACTGTGGGAACACTTTAGTCAATGTGCTGGAATTACTTCTGCTAAGCTTATTCGAGATGATTATAAAGGAACGACCAAGGGTTTGGATTTTGCTTCTTCAATTCCTAGGAGATAAATAAAGCTGAACAATCTTTTCATGTTGAGAATGTTTATATGTATTAAGATTTGAGAGTGCATCTTAAAAGGTCAACCTTATTAAGAGGAGTAGCCCAAGATCTTTATTAATTGGTCTGTGTCAACATCTTTATTCGATGTGGGATTATATCCCTTAACAATATGTACTGTCCACTGCATGTAATCTGATTCTAGTGAGGCATTCAAAGATAAGAACATAAATGTTTTGGTTTCAAAGGTTCAGACTGGCATGCATGTTTTATTTCTTCTACTTATTTATTGTTGGGATTTTAAAGTCCATGGCGTTGTTTTGCAAGTTGCTTCTAGACCGGACGTTTGACCATCTTCAGTTCCCTTGGTTGGTTTTATTGATGTCCATTTTAGCACTCAAGTCTTCTGACAGCCTCTCCAATGAATATCTCCAATGAATATAGGCTAGGTACATCTGCCCTTGTATCTTTCAATCTTTTCCGAAGTTGGTTTATTTTTTTTTTCACTTTCTTTTCATGACAACATATACAAAACAGGTGAAGGATGAATAGACATGTGCTTCTACCGAGTGGCGGTCCTGCATATTCCGTAGCTGACGAAATCCGTGGCTCCATCAAAGGATTAAAGCAAGCAGAAAGTTTCTTCTCGCTTATTTATGTTATTCCTGTCTTTATGCCCTAAATTGAACACCAGTTTCTTACTTTATTCCAATTGATTGTGTCATGTATTATTCCTTGATATGATGTGAGAGCACTGTATGCTATGATTAGATCTTCGATAGGCTCCAATCCACCACACGCCTTCTAGGAGGACCTAGAAGAAGAATAACCTGCAAGTGGGTGGAAAACTAGTCTGTTAGAGAGTAAAAATGGTAGGGAAAAACAGTTACAAGTAGCTTATAAATAAAAAAGGGGGGAAAGGATTGGGTATGAAAAATAGTGAGTGAAAACCATGTGGAGAGTACGGCCCTCTCGAAAGGCTGATTGTATTTCCTTTATTTCTGTAATTCACTTTGCCGTCAATACAGTTCTATAATTTTCTGAAATGATTCATTTGTTTCATTGAATCCTCAGGTGGTTCCTATCAGTCTTTCAAGCAGGTTGCTAGTAGCAACCACCAGGCTTTCAAGCAGCTGGCAATGTGGCTGTTTGCTTTGTAGCACATTAGTTGGTCAATTAATTGAGTTTTAGACTCGTGATGTCCTCACATTTGCGGTACTTGCGTCTACTTCAGGCGTTATTTATATATCAATCATTCTTATCTCTTGACATGAATTTGCATGCCTCGAAACTGGTACTGATTTTAACTCCTCTCCCAACAGCCAACCAACCTTGCTGATTTACAGAGACTAGGCAAGCCCTGCTTCTTCCTTTTTCAAGGTTACGCTGCCTTCACATCATGCTGCTAT